CTCCCATTGTTCATCAATTTGCTCGAGCGGGCACCAGTATCACCTCCATTGTGAGACTTGTTGTTACTGTTTTTGGCATATCGAATCTGACATGGGGAGCTTTCCAGGCTTTGCCATGTGGGCGGGATACTCTCAGTAGCTTGCTGGGCTCTCTGAGAGGGACGGAGGAACTGAACCCAGATGGCCGCTTGCAAGGCAAACGCCCTACCCACTGTGCTATTGCTCCAGCCCAAGATAGGTGGTGTACTGGGGAAATTGGTAAATAGAATTGGCACTGGGCAGTGTGTCTGGGAGGAGTGTCAGGATGGGGAAGCATGTGCAGACATGCAGCCCCAAGTGGAACAGCTCCCAGAACACATGCACAGAGGCCATGTGAATAGCAGCTCCTGAGGAATGTGCCGGCTCAGGGAGACTGTGTCTTTACCCTGAGAGGTGAGGCGTTCTGGAGGGTATGACACAGAGGCTACAGGCTTCTCACTTTATCACCTTGTACAGTTTTGAAAGCCAGAGAGATAGTAGCAAAAGCAAGACACTTGCCTTGCACATGGCTGGCCCTGGTTCAATCCTCAAAAGTACCACCAGGAGTGATTCGTGAAAACTGAGCCAGAAGTAAGTCCTGAGCAAGTAGCCTGAGTGTGACCCAATACAACAGAATAAAAGAAAACCCGAAACCGTCATTCTAGGAAACTGTGCCGTTGTGTTGCTGAGATGGGTGTTCAGGGTTAGTAGGAGAAAGAGCAAGAAGCCTTACTCCCACAGAGCCCAATAAATCAATCACCTCAGGAAAGGGATTGCCAAAGTGTCCTTTGCTCTCAGTCGAGGGAATCGGTACAGCGTGAGCAGCTCTCGCTTCTGATGGGGTATAGAATGTGGCTTATTTTGTCTTCCTTTTCTTTCATCCAGTCGTTGGGCCAGTTCTTCTGTCTCCAGGTCTAGCCTTCTGTCCAGCATGAGCTCCTACCAGCAGAAGCAGCCCTACCACCCACCCACCCAGCTTGAGCAACAGCAAGTGAAACAACCCTGCCAGCCTCCGCCCCAAGAGCCATCTGTTCCCGCAACCAAGGAGCCATGCCACACCAAAGTCCCACAGCCTGGCCACTCCCACTATCCGGAAACAGGCCATCCTACCGTCCCTGGACACGGTCACACCAAGCTTCCTCAACCTGTCTACCCTGAAGTCCCTCAGCCGGGCCAAACCAAGCTTCCTCAACCTGGCCACCCCAAGGTTCCAGGGCCATGCAACCCCCAGTATCCTGAGCCAGGCCATCCTCAAAACCCTGGCCAGGGTCACACCAAGCTTCCTGAGCCAGTCCACCCTCACCCTCATCCTGGCCACACCAAGGTGCCTCAGCCTGGTCACCCCAATGTTCCAGAGCCATGCAACCCCCGGTATCCTGAGCCAGGCCATCCTCAAAACCCTGGCCAGGGTCACACCAAGCTTCCTGAGCCAGTCCACCCTCACCCTCATCCTGGCCACATCAAGGTGCCTCAGCCTGGTCACGCCAAAGTCCCAGGGTCAGGCACCTCTACAGTTTATCCTGACGCAGGCCATCTGAAGACAAAGCATCAGTAATGTCTGCAACCATGCACTTGAGCAGACCACTGGATTCTGACCACCTTCTCACTTCTGAGTTCTGTGCCTTGATTTGTCTTTAGACTTTTCAGTCATGTTCTTGCCCTTCAGAGATATTCTTTTGATTTTCTAAGATACTCAGTAGGTTTTATTGGGTTTGATAGTCTCTGCTATATAGGCTTCAATTGAAGAGGGAATCCAAATGGGAAGAGAATCTTATTTACTGCTCTATACTCATTAAATCACCTTTAAGTGCACTCTTGGCTCTGTGTGTCATTGGGTAATTCTTCCTGTATTTCATCATAAATAGTGCCTGGAGACACCAGAGAAGTCATCTGTTGAATACTGCTGTTATTGCTTTAATGTGTGTATGTTATAACACATAGAGCTATTTTTTCTAAATGACAATGACTTGCATAATGGAACCCAGAGCCTGTCACTTGGACATCCTCAAGAGAAGCAGGGCTCTTTGTCACTGGCATGATTCATGCCAGAGTCCCATGGCACTGAATCCAAAGTTGCCTGTGTCTTGAGTACCCTACGTCCAAGATTCCTGTTTATTTAAATAAATTCATTCATTTGTCATTCAATTTATTAAATTAATATTTAAATTCACCATTCTTGAATAGTTTCACCTGATCCTCAAGTTTTCTTAAATCTGCAGAAGCCGACTGATATGCTGAGCTGAGAGAGGAGACGAGTTTAAGGCAGGAAATGGACAGTCAGTCACAGAGTCCAGAATGAGCAGGTTGTTAGGCTGTGAATAGAAAGAGTGAGAGGAGACTTGGCATGCACTCACTACTACCATGCATTTTCCAAATAAAGAAGTCAACTGCTAAGAATGCATCTGTAGTAACCCAGAAGCTTTCTCCATTAGCTTTTTAAGAATCACCCATATTGTTTTGCATAGTCAGCATCATCTTGATCTTTTGGGTGACCAGAATGTCTCACTCTTGAGGACTTACTAGAAATGCATCTTTAATTTAAAAAACATAAAATTTGGTGCTTTTACTTTTGTCTCCCTGATGAGACAACTATTTCCTGAACAAATTCATTTTTGCACACTAGTACCAGAGAGATGGTATGAGTTTGGAGCCTGCATCCACCCCATTACAGTTCGATCCCCAGGACCACTTGATCACAGAGCATCAAAGCGAGTAGTCCAGGTGTATCCCAGGTGGTCCTGATGGTCTCTGGAATTGCAAAAAATCTTGGGAAAAAACTGTATTCTTTGGCTCTATAAATAAATTACCCAGTGAGGTGGCCAAAAATCCTCAGAGTGCCACCCTGGTCTCGTAAGCACTTCTTAGAAGCTCCAATCCCCTAAATTATCCTGCTAGACGCAACAAGTAATGATCATTTGCTCTTCATTTAAAATCCCTAGACTATTTCAGCAAATATTTCACCATTGGATAACATTGATCATAATATTTACACTTTCCAAGATCAATTTTCCTAACAACCACCTCCAGATAAGCAAGCAATACCATATGTAATTGACGCTTGTTATATCAGCAACCTGTTTAACTATTTTTTAACCTTTTTTTTTGTTCACACTCGGTGATGCTCAGAGGTTACTTCTGGCTCCGCATTCGGGAATTACTCCTGGTGGTGCTTGGGGAACCATGTGGGATTCTGGGGCTCTAACCTGATTCTGCGGCATACAAGACCAATGCCCTACCCACTGTACTATTTCTCCATTAGCAGCTTATTTAAGAAACTGATTCCTGTATTAGGCCAAATAGCAGTACAAAGTGTGAAAACATGACTCAGATATCAGGGTATATTTCTTACTCATGTCACAATCCAATGTGAACAGAAACCTGAGAGTTTTCTTCGATCTACAACTCTATTATCTCGGTACCTTCTGATTGTAAGTGAAAGAGAAGGGGGAAGATTCTCTTAATCTTAAATGTGTGTAGATATAATATGATTTAATATGAAGTAGCATATCTATAAGTATGCTTTTATATATATATGACAGAAGGAAAGAGAGAAGTACAGGGAAAAAGAGAGGAAGAAAAAAGACAAAACACAGAGACATCTCATTTTGTGGCTCTCTGTCATCCGTTTGTGGACACACTGAACCATTCATTTATTTAAGAACGTCTCCCTCTTGTGGCAGTTCACTTGAGTAGCAGACTGAGCTTAGAAAACAAGCTGCAGGGTAACAGTAACTTTGCAGATAAATTAATTCTCAAATGCCTGGTCAGAGTACTCCAGCAATGTCAATAGTTGTGAACAATCGAATGAAACTCTGAATATTCGTGGATTATTCAAGTTATAAGAGCGAACTGCATGCATGGAAGAAGGCAGTAAATTGTCTTGTAGAACATATTGTCTTCCTTCATAGTTTAATAATGACTATGATCTTATTAAGATATTCTAACTTCTAATAACAGTTTTCTGCTTTATTATATAGAGTGAGTTAGAAGAGAGAAATCAATCTATAGGCTATGGAAGCATAGTAAAGTTTAAGGATATTTTTGTTTCTATATAATAGTTATGTCTGATACATGTTGGTGATGATGAGGGTGATAATGCTGGTTATGTTGGAGACAGTTATTATCTTCTATTGGGTGTCAATTATGTGTCAGGTGCCATACTGATTAAAAGATACATATTAATCACATTTATTCAGTTCTATGACGGAAATGAGTTTATAATGCAAATATTGTTTTTTCTAGCTTATAGGGAAATTGAAGTCTTAAAGAGTTTCTACACATTTTTTTAAAATGAGACAATAATTAGGGGCCAAAGCAATAGTGCAGCGGGTAGGGTTACATTGCCTGTGATAAACCCAGGTTTGATCTCTGTCACCCTATATTGTCCCCCGAGCCCTGCCAGGAGTAAGCCCTGAGCACTTCTGGGTATGACCCAAACCAAGAATAATTTTTAAATAATAAATGAGATAATAATTAATAAAAATGTTATAGATTTTAAAAATTTATTTATGTAGTGTTGATTTATACCATCATAGATGTCTTAGGTATACAGAATCATAATTCAGCTTCCATTATTATCATCACCAAAAGACTAGATTCCACTGTCAAATCACTTAAACAATAATGAAGGAACCTAAGACAGGAAGTGGAGGAAAACAATTGCCTTGAGGGCAGACACTCTTGTCTAGAAGCAGAAGGCACAGAGGGAATTTTCTCCTGCGTCTCAGGGAAAGACCTGCAGCTCACCCTTCTGAAACTGGGGTGCTCACATGCCCTGAGGTTGCTCTCCTCAGATAGATACTTCCTGGAAAATCACAGAACTTCAGCCTATCGTTGCCAGGAATCATCATAAGGATAGTATACACTAACAGGTGGCAAAGTTTTGGTATCCGGAACAGTCTTTGAAGATGAAGGTATGTCTTTGGGAACGGAGAGGCAATTGTCCTTATTCTTCCCAGGTCCTGAAGCACACTCTGAAGCTGTTAGTTGCTCTTGGGTGGGCACTCCTGCTGGCACAATGGAGGAGGCTTCACAGGAGGGCATTTCTGCTGGCACTGTTGAGGTGGGCAGGGCTCAGAGCATTTTGGCGGTAGACAAGGCTCATGGCAGTTAAGTGGTGGGTAGGGCTCAGGGCACTTTGGGGGTGGACATGGCTCAGGGCACTGTGGGGCACAGCGGAGGAGGCATGGAAAGGCTGCTTGCACTGCTGCTCTTGATAAGACATCATTCTGAAGTCTAAGAATCTGAAACAGATTAGATGGCAATGTTCAAAATAAAAGTTTCCTCAAGAGAAGTGAAAATCATATAGCACCTTGAAATAGTATCACTCCAATCTTAGCTATGCTTGAAATTCTTAACCCCCTTCCCTCTTATGACTTCATAGCTTCTCCCTTCCCCTTTAGCAAATTTCTCTACCAGCTCTGAGAAAGCCTTGCTCCTTGTGATATTTTCCAAAGAAAATATCTTTTTGAAAACAAGTAACGTTGTTCATATGAAAAATAGCACTTTCAAGGAAAGGAATCACAAGTTCTGAAATCCTGTGTAACCTCACAAGTAGTTCCCATCACAGTGACTTTTTGTGAGGTCCCAGTAGAACAATGAACCATCACACCTTCTAAACCATAAGCTTCTAAAATGAGGGCAGAAGAAATCACCCAAATAATAGAAATACAATTGCTTTGTTCTTTCCTCTTCCTTATATCAAAGTTTTCCCAATAATTTTTCCCACTGGAAATGTCAAGATATCTATCAAAATTCAAAGGAAAGAAGTATATCATTGTCCCCAGACTCTAAATTCCTACCTACAAAGGAACACAAAACCTATGATCACAACTTAAAACCCATCAAAATTGATCTCCAGATTAAATGAAATTCTTAAAAGCACCAAAACCTGATGAACTCAAGACGTTAAACTCACCAGATCTTCCAAAGTAGCTTCAGAACTCAAATACCAGAAGGATGGTAGTGCGGCAATGGAGAAATGCTTTATAGGCCTGCATCCCCACCCAGGTGGAGAAGGGGGTAGGTCTATCTAAAACTGGTCTAGTCCAATCATTTCTCAATCACAGTGCAAATCCATCCACAGCTAGCTCAAAAGGGATTCTGAGAACAGGAACTGCTTTTCTCCAGAATCTCCCACAATAGGTCTGAGGAACGGAGAAATGATTAGTACACTAGATGTCTCAAATAAAGGAGGAAATGTACTGATCATACATACTGATCTCATTTTTATTCCCATTTTCTAACAAGAATTTGGTTTTTAAAGACAATTATTTTAAAAAACCATTTTTTAGTGTGCCTTTTCTCTGTCTTCTACTTAAGTCCACCAGCCTCTTCAAAATGCCACGATGCATTAGAATCATGTTTATGGAAAACCACCACAGAATCTCAATCAATAAAAATAAATAACAAAAGTCATATTACTGTCTTTCCTAAGTATGACCTAATAATATTATATAATAAATCCAATTTTGGTATATACAAATTACTTGTGGCATGTTGTCAATGCCTCTAGTGATTAGCCCATACATAGATTTTGTAACTTCCTCCTGCAGTCAATAAGGCTAACTATAAAGGCTGAATAATCCAAGATTTAAAGTGATGCTGCTAGAACTTCCTTGTTCTCACAAATGACCAGGAAGCTTTTTTAGAGTGTGGTTTTATAGCTGGGGAAGGAATAAGGAGACAAGAATAAAGAGAAAGAGGAAGAGGAGACACTCAAATCTTTGAAATAATTCTACAGCTAGGCTGTAGAAAATAAAGAATGACTGAATCAACCCAGCACCACAGGCTCTTGGTTAAACAGGTTAGGTTTCCACGATTTGTCATCGTTCTTGTCACAAATGCAAGATTTTTTCCAAGATAATCATTAGACACAACAATACAGAACAGAACAATTGCTTCAGCCCTTTGAAACTATGTTACTACAAACAACACCATCAGGTATCTATCCCTTTCCTTCTGCTTGACTTCATTCACTCAGCAAAAAATCCTTTAGTTCTAGCTGCTCCTCTCTGGAAAGAAAGATGGCGGCCCCACGGGAGCCTTGTGGACAGCAGGTTTGAGCCGGGGGTGGGGGGGCGGCAGGGGCCTCATGGGAAGGGGGGCACTCTGGGCCGTCCTTCACCCCCGACCGAGGTCACCGGCTGCCCCCCACGAGCGGCTCTCCGGCACGGCCACGACTCCAGAGCACAGAAACCAATCTCTTAACTATCTAACTTTTAATAGAAATACTTCCAGGGTTAATAAGTGAAACAGCAGAAATCCAAAACCGCGCGGCTGCAATAGCGGCCGCACAACATCATTTTATTCTTAAACCAAGCTGTAGAAAGCAAATCATTTCACAACACTGTTTCAGCATATCTGATTGGGGGGGTCCGTAAACTCTAAACAATAATTGTGTATCTTCTATCGAAACAATGTATCTAGTCAAAGTAGATAGAGTATTAACTAGAACTCATCTGCCTCACAGGAATTGGGAGGGGTGGGAGGTGGGGTTCTATTGGGGTTCACGGTTAAAAATAAGTATTGGTAAAGGGAAATGTGTTTGATACTTACATGACTGAGACCTAAACCCGAAAGCTCTGTAACTTTTCCCACAGTGATTCAATAAAGAAATTAAAAAAAAAATCCTTTAGTTCTATCCATATAGCAGCAAATTGAATATTCTTTTCCTTTCTTACAGATACATAGTATTCTACTACGCATATATAACACATTCTTTCATCAATCCAGGCATCTGTTATTTGAGCATTCAGGTTGTTTTCATTCATTGGCAATATGAGTTTCAGTGAAGAGAGATGAATATATACCCTTTCGAATTAATTATTTTGTGTTTTAGAAGCAGTATCACATATGGCTTTTTTTTGAGAAATACCTACATTTTTTTTTCAGAGAGAATGAACCAGACAACATTTCCACAAGTGAGTGAGTGTTCGTTTTCCACCAGAACCCTGCCAACACAGACTGTTTCCATACTTTTTGATATCTGCCATCCTCAAGAGTTTGAGTACATTGTGTCTCATGGTTTTAATTTGCATTTCCCTGATCAGGAGTGATGACAAGCACTTTTTTATATTCTTATTGACCGTCTGTGTGTATTCTTTGGAAAAGTCCCTCTTCATCTTCTCACCCCATTTTTGGATGAGGTTGTTGGAAAATTTTTGTTCTTGAGCTTTGTGAGTACTTTGTAGATTTCAAGTGTAAATACTTCCTCCCATTAAGTAGGGTTTCACTTTATTAAAGCTTGGTGGGGGGGGGGTTGCTGCACAGAAACTTTTCAATATGATATAATCAATTTTTTAAAATTTCAGTTTGTGCTTCTGGCACCGTCTTGTTGAAAATGCCTCTGAATTTTACTTCTTGCAAAGTTCAGTATAGGTTTTCACCAATATATTTTATGAATTCTGGTCTAAGTTGAGGTCTCTACTATACCATGAGTTTACTTTTGGATAATCACAGCAGTTTTTATACCTCTAGCTTGCCAGACAGGAGTGACACAAAGGATGTCAACATTCCCCTCTCACTGACTTTCTCAAAATCAACTACCACAAGACGAATAATAGCATCTAACGATCAGAGTGGTTCTAAGTTTGAATATTTGAAAACTGAGGTATTGAAACAGTATACTTTATGCACAGTTATTGTTGAATTATGGTTTTAATGTTTTATTTCACGTATTACCACTATTCCATTTATCATTAAAATTTTTCTTAAAATCAAATTTGTATTCTAAAATAGGGAAGAAATAAAGACAAGAAAAGATAAAGTGCAGTTTTATCTTTATTTCTTAAAATATGAAGAAAATATTCCTTATATTCCCAGATAATATTTAGCATTAGTCTCCTTGAATTTATGCTGTAGTATGTTACTTCTAAGTGTAAGATTCATTCTCTACCTTCCCTCCTGATAAATTGGTAAATTCCACCATGTTTATATAGAGGAATTTCTTAGCTCACTAAGGACGTTTTGAAATTTTATTTATTATTATAAAAGTACTCAAGTTATAATTTAAAATGCAAGGTTTTGATTGAAGCATATTACACAAAAGATAGGAAATACACATAACAATCTTTTAAGGTAACTATCACCACTAGCTAGAAAAATTACCGATGGTTTTTATTTCTTTTTAAAAATTTCTTAACTTCTTTCAGGAAATAATTTTTAAATGAAGAAGAGTAAAATGTTGCTTTGAAAATGTGACAAGACATAAATCTATCTATTGCTCAATTAAGGAGAAATTATTCTTCTCTTAGATTTAAAAACCTATAAGCAACAGAAACCAATAACTGATCTTACCATGGGGCGTGGGGGTTGGAGGGTGGGAATAGGGAAGTAGGAAGCAGAAGACACTGGGACAATGTTGAACGGAAATGGTCACTCTTGTGGAGTGTGTGGTGCTGGAATGTTTTATGCACGGAACCTTAACATCAACAACATTGTAAATCATCCTGCCTAAAATAAAACAGAGTACCCTCAATTAATGCATAGTCTAAGGGGAGGGGGGAGATTATACTCCATCTCTGGAAAATTAATTTAGAAGAATAGGGTAAATTTAAGTAATTGCATTTTAACATTAAAAATGCACATTTGCGCATAAAATGCATACAACGGAGCACAATGGAGGATTCCTAAAACACGGTCATGAGAAAAATTTGTAAGTTTGATTTGTTCGGATTTAATAATGTTAATAAATTTTTTGGTTAAAAATTTGGTTCAGAAGTTTGGTTCAAAATAAAAAAGAATCCATTTAGAACAGGATTAGAAAAGCAATTTAACCATTACCTTCATCTATCTCTTAATCCATCCCACTGCATAACCAGCAGGACTGTGGTGAGGAACTCAACCACCACCCTCCAACACACCCAATTTCCATTTCGCTAAAATTCTCCAGCAGACACAAAGCAGACATCTCTGATCACAGCTCCCCCTTTTCTGCAGGGTGGTTTTCTGCTTCTAGTTCTCCCACTCTTGTAGGGATAATGGATAGGGATATGTACTTCAATGACCCACAAATACTGGAAACAGCGTGGACTTGGAAGCTACAATACTTCTGAGAAACCCACAGGTGTTTGAAGCAGAGTGCGCACAAAGAGGAGGGGCCCCTTTCCTGTTCCTCGAGGCATGTTGGGAGCCTTGAGCCTCGTCTTTCTGAAACAGAAGCATGTGGCCTCCCAACTAGGTCAGCACATAATAAATGTTGGGTCACAGAACCATCAGATATGC